TAAGGCGTAGCTTTCCTATTAAGCTCTATAATTTCTTTCATTAGCCATGACACATTCTTTTCGAACTTAGAAACTGGATCAACGTGATGCTCAATTATTTTTGCTTCAACAACTAGTTCCCCAACATATCTAGCAACTTCGCTCATTTGTACCATGGCCTCGAATACCATATTACTTCTTTCTTCACTTCTTTCTACATAGAAATCAGTTGATTTTTGCCATTGTTCATTAGTTCCTTCGAGAGTTTGCTCTAACTCAGTGATTCTGACTTGACAATTGTGCTGAGTGTTTTCAAGATCTCTAATGCGTCTTCGTAGTGAAGCACTTTCCTCATTACTTTCTTTGAGATCACTAGGTCCTAGAAGAACCTTTTCTTGAAATAACGACTCTTCAAGTTGCAAAATGCAAGCATTAAACTCTGAGTTTTTGTTTCTAGACTGATCCAAATCTTCTTCAAGTTTTGTTCGTGCTTCTTGCGTTCTTTGATTAAGCTTCTGGATTTGAACATTCTTGTTTCTGCATCTTTGCATCCAATTGCTAGCCACTTCTTGCTCTACCTCAAGTTTGGTGTTGAAATTCTTTCTTTCCAGCTCCCATTTTTCTTTTTCAAACATTGAACTCTTCAATCCTTTGGCCTCTCTTCAAGTTCGGTAATCAGATTTCATTTCAGATTCAAAATCCCGAACATGATATTTTCTCACCTTCAATTATCAAAGATGTTATTCTTCATCTCTTCTAAATCTTTGGCTCGATCCCTTTCTCTTTGCATTTCATTCATGATCTCGGCGCGGTGGTAGCTTTGTGTTTATAATCGCTCTCTTCTGTCAACCTCAAAATCTTCCATTTTTGCTTTCCTTTCTCAAGGCTTTTGAGTAGACGACTATTCTTTCTTTCAGATCTTCAACTCGACTTTCTCGATGTTCAATTCTCTGGTCATCTGTAATGTTGATCGGCTCGGTCTTGATGCTTTCCGGGATTTAATAACTCCTGGTAATTTTCTTTAATGCTCTGAATTCACCATCAACTTTTTCTTGTTTTCTCTCAACATTGCACATTGTGATGAATGAAAGTCATGTCAACACCCAACATAGCTTTATCTCGTCTCATTTGCTCTAATTCTCTTGACCAATCTTCTCTTTCTGCTTCAAACTCAGCTCTCAGTTTGGTCTGGTAGAAAAATATTTTCATTTTTCCTGACAGATCTCCATTCCTCATAATCAGGAGTTAGCATTTCTTTTGCTGCTTTAGTCGGATACAAAAAGTGTTTCCAAGCTGTAAAGGCTTCCATGATTTTTTATAATTTTTGCTGTGGAATGCGAACTCAGATGAATGTAATCCAGCAGTGACAGGTACAAATTGACGACCTTCATACTGTCTTATGACCAGAGTGGTGCATATCCAATTCCTCACCACAATCCAAGCAGCATTATCCAGTTGTAATCACATTGTAAAAGAATTCCCTTGGATTTGCCACGGGGCTCGCCAAACAATATCATTGCTTTACAGAGATTTCGAAAGGCATTAATCCACATATCTTTCTTAATTTCTTTCGGCCATTCTGCTCTAGAATTCTTTCAATGGTGAGTAGTCCGTATTAAAACGCCGGTATGAAACCTTTTCTGTCCTCCAGAAATGGCTACGGATCAGACATATACAATTGGGGTACACCCTGAGAATCTTCCACCTCCTAGCTTTCTACAAGTGTTAATGATCTGAAAGTCTCTGCTAGAATTGCAGATGCATGATTAATCTTTTTTGGTAGTTGCTCAAACAAATCTACTACTGCTTCATATATCCAATTTGGGAAGATGACCATACCATACATACCCAGAGCAAAGAGATCGAATCATACTTTAGTCTGGATGACTTGAATAAGTTCTTAATGTTGGTCCAAGCAATGCCTTCGCTTTCGCCCTTTTGTTTTGTACGGGATGCACCATTCTTCCGTACTCCAGCAATCTTTGCTAATTTAACTCGAAAGGGTGAGTTTTAATTGACCTGAATAAATTCGATTCTCCAAAGCCCCTTCTATATGTAGCAAAGTTTGTACTCTTCAATAGTAGGAACCAAATCCTCCTTATGAGAGTGAAGCAATTGTACCCTGGATTCCGAATTGAATTAGGGCTCGAAGTAAGTCATCATCAACTTCGACATAGAGCAAATATGGGATGTCTCCGCAAGTCTGATAAAACTAACTTTTTGTTTGAGTCCCAACTCTCCCAAATGCTTCGCAAATCCGCATATCATTTATTTTTAGCGAAAACTGGAGCATAAACTGGCTAACTCAGATATAGTCATCCTGCAGACTGTCTCCCCTTTGTCTTTGTAAATCCTCAGCCCACTGTCTTACTTCTGAGTTTAGAACTATTTGATTTGAACACTTTTTATCCATGGATGAAGGTTTTCCAATGAGGCATTAACACGAGGATCAATCCTGTATGATGCTATGCAAACAGAAGAAATAAAGAACACAAAAAAATGAATTAGTTTACATAATAAGGAAAAATTTAATAATAATGTCTACCTAAATATCTTATTTAAACTTGCTTTCTTCATACTTTAAATAATTTAAATTCACATGCAATTTATCAGTAAGAAATAAATAATAAATTAAAGGAAAGTTAAAATTCATTCTCCTGTGTGTACACCTATTTTGGACAAAATTCGGCATGGCTTCAGATCGGAAGAGTTTCTAGGGTTTATTATATGCAGGGTTTCAGATTTAAGAATAAAGGTACCTGAATTATCCTTGTTAGTGCCCCCTTGGGTTGCTAACCCTCAATCCTAGTCCATCACAGACTAAAGTGGATCGAGTTCAATTCGAGGGGATACACTTCTCTATGCCTGATACGGAGAATAAATTCTCACGAAGACATAGAGCATATGAACCCCGAAAGTTACTTGCTAGGTCTGACACGGAGAATAAATTCTCACGAAGACGTCGCTTTCACTCCCACTTAAAAGGGACCAACTCAATTATAGAGCTTTATGTTATGCAATGCAAGTGTTGTGTGTGAGGAGAAATGTTCAAACCTCTGACAGAAAAATAAATAATGAATTAAAATACTTAATAATATAAAAATAATAAGTATAAAAAATTTGAAAACAAAGAATTATAAATTAAATATATAAATTTTTAATTTATAATTAATAGAGACAATTTATAATTGATTTTAAAAGTTTGACCATCCCCAGCGGAGTCGCCAAGCTGTCGTAACCGGTTTTCGTCCGAGCACGAATTTTTTACCTGGCGGGAAAAGTGATGTGAATAAATGGTTTTTAAAATAATTTGGGAGTCGCCATCGGCCTTTTGGGTCAGGTTGGTCGAATACCTAAAAATCATCTTTTAAAAGAGTTTTTAAGAAAACATCGATTAAAAGATAAACGGATCTGCGTTTTAACCAAAAAATCATTCTTTTTAATAATAAAAAGGGATTCGTGGTCGGTTACGTTTAGGGAAGGATTAGTACCCCTACAACGCCCAAAATTGTTACTTTTTAATTATAAATGTCTCGATTATTAGAAATTAAAAAATTCAATATATATTTAATCTATAATCCTATTATTTCAAAATTATAATTATGAAATAAATATTAATTTATATATTTATAAATACAATATTTATTTATTTAGAAATATCAGAAAAGAACTTCTAGGTGCCTTAAGACAGCTCTTTTCTTCGATATTAAAAAAATAAATAAATAATTAATATATAATTTTAAAAAATAGGATATTTATTTATTTAAAAATATCAGAAAATGGACATCCAGTTATTTTAAGACTGTCCTTTCTTAATATTAAAAAATAAATAAATTAAAATATGATTATTAAAAGTAATTTATGAAATATAGGATTTTAACGAATAAACAAATATTATTTATATATCTATATATTATTTATATAAATAATAAAATAATAATAAAAAATAATAATATTGTAAATAATGATTTAAAAAAAGGAATTAAAAAAATAATATAAAATGTAAAAAGTATAAGCTCGTAGAATGAATGAAAATATTAACTTAAGGACTAATTATAATCTAATAAATTAAATACTTAATTCATAATTAATTATTTAAAATTACAGGGATTATACATGCTATTTTACCCATTTAATTTAGTGACTAAAATAAATTATATAAAATTCGAATATCAGATTAAAAAAATTAAAATATGTATTCGGATTAAAATATTAATTATTAAACTAAAGGACTAATACATATTTTATCTAAAATATTTATAATTACGTTAAGGCTAAATATAAATAAATAAAATTTAGAGACCGAATTAAAAGGATTATAAATTTGATTCAGTGACTAAAATGTAAAACATATAAAACAGAGGGACTACGGACAGGGTTTAACATTTAAAAATTACACAAATAGCCCTCCCCAAAACAGCGTCGTTCGGGAAGGGCTATTTAAGCCCGAAACGGCTGGCCCGAAACGGCTGGCCCGAAGGGCGTTTACTCTCTCTCTAAACTGAGAGAGTTTAAAACTCTCTCGTCTCTCTCTGGCTTCCCTCATCGGAGGGAAGCTGGTCATCGGGCGGCAGTCGTCTGCCGCCGTAATCCCCACCGTCGGCCACCATTTCCGGTGGTCTGAAAACACCAAAATTTCCCAAAACCTAGATCCGAGTACCCTAAACTCGATTTCACCCTTCTTTTATCCTAAAAAGTTATGGGTTTTCCTAGATCTAAGGAAAATACCTTCGGTATTTTTGGTTCTCAGGCGCCGTTTGGAGTTCTCCGGTAAGGTAAACTCTTCCTTCTCTCTTCTCGGTTGGATTGCTGGTTGTTGTGAGTTGGTCTCTATTTTTTTTGTATCTTTGCTCTCTGTTTGGTTGCTCTGTGGCTGTTAGTTCCTCCCTTCTTTCTTTGCAGGTTCGGTGGTGGCTTTATAGCCATCACCGACGCTTGTCTCGGACCGGGTAAAAGAGTAAAGTTCGGTGAGTCACCGAACTTCCAGTGGTGACTCACCATTGAGGGCAACGTTTGCGGCTATGGCTTGGCCTTCTGGATCCTTCGGTGGGCGTCGTGGTAGCGTGGTAGCAGAGGTTGGCGAACGACGGCCGAGTGGTCCCTAGGGTATCATTACCCTAGGGTTCGTTCTGGATGAGTGTGGGCTGTTGGATCTCTCAATAATATAATAATAATAATAATAATAATAATAATTATAATAATAATGATAATATAAATAATATTTAAATGAAAAAAATGAGTATCTTCAGTTATTGTTATAGCCTTTGCTTGGTTTTTCATTTTGAGTTCCGAACTTCCGATTATCTTAAACGATAGTTGAGCAATCTCAACAATTCAAGAAATTATGGCTCATTTACACCCCATCTTTCATACTGTGTAAATTGTACTGTATTGTGCCATTATTTTCTCCCTTTACAATATCATGCAACAAAAGTCCATAACTGATCAAGCTTTATTAATTCATTACTTGTGATAGTTAGGTTTAGGTTACAACTAAATCAATGATGTTTTTTTTTCGGTTTCAATTTGATTAGGAATGAACTTTTCGTTTATGCAATTCATTCTCTCCATTTTTACGTTATTTATTTCTTATTGCAGTGGGTGTTGTCTCCCAAGTACTTCAATTTCCTGTTTCCTATGACGTTGACAATGATTCACATGTCATTCTCCGGAATCGTTGCATTTTTCCTTGTCCGATTTTTCAAGGTATGATTGACATGCAACTAACTTCAATTTCTTTTCCATCTAGCATTGCTAACTATTGTAAGGAATGTCTTCATACTAAACTGTTAAATGCTAAACCATATACTCCCGTCTCAATAATATATGCAAATGCAACTAGCTCTAGGAATGCCAAGTTTGTCACAATAAAATGTGTTTTTTTGGTTACATTGTCCCCATTTCCAGAACTTAGTGGTCTCTTTATGACCTGAAACTAAAGATCCATTGTTTTTTTGTGCTTTATATTTTACCTACAGAGGCAAAATATAAATTTGAGAGCATAGATATTATTTTTCTATACAAGCTTCATCTTCCATTGTTTTGCCTAGTTTTGTAATGCATTTTCCTCTCCCTCAATCTTGCCATGCAGGTTGTAGCTCCTGTCAAAATGACATTTGAAATGTAAGTGTTATTCTTTATCTAAAATAGCCGTTATTATTCTCAGTTAATGCTTAGCTACAATATCGATGTTCTTTTTCCTAAACAAATGTTCTCGGTGTTGTAGATATGCAACATGTGTAATACTTATAAGTGCCTTCTTTGCATCAAGTATTTGGTAAGTATTTAACTGTGGTATGATTGGAATTTGTGTTTGGTGTGTGCTATAGTGTTTTCCTTATTATGGTGTGGTTTGTGTTGTGTAATGAGTTACTTCTGTCAGCAAAAAATACATACTGCTTGAATACCCTGTCGAGACTGAAAGCATAAAAATAGCCGTTATTATTCTCAGTTAATGCTTAGCTACAATATCGATGTTCTTTTTCCTAAACAAATGTTCTCGGTGTTGTAGATATGCAACATGTGTAATACTTATAAGTGCCTTCTTTGCATCAAGTATTTGGTAAGTATTTAACTGTGGTATGATTGGAATTGTTTGGTGTGTGCTATAGTGTTTTCCTTATTATGGTGTGGTTTGTGTTGTGTAATGAGTTACTTCTGTCAGCAAAAAATACATACTGCTTGAATACCCTGTCGAGACTGAAAGCATAGTATTACTTGTGAACTTGTAGTTTGTTTCATACTCTTTTTTGTTTTAAGTATAATATTGTTCCTCAATGATCTGTCTACTTTCCTATCCTAATGGTTGTTAAAGAGTTACTGCACCCAAGTTGGTAGGTTGACTTGAGTTTGTGAAAATTCTCAACTAAATAAACCTGGATGATTATTGTTAAGCTCAAATCAAGTATAGATGCAATAGCAGTACCTGCTACATGTATTTTTTTTTATCTTTTATTGTGTTTCTTAAACTTTAACTAAGGTTAAGGGGGTTTCACGGAGTGGTCAAGTTACCTTCTCTGCATAATGAAGTTCCTTAATTAAGCAGGATCCTAATTTGTTGAATTACTGCCATTTGTCTTGCTTCGTATTTTCGTATCTTAATGCCTTGCCCTGAAACTGGTTCTGACAGCACTAATTTGTTTTTCTTATACTTTTTAATGAAAATTAAATTTTAAATGCATTTAAGCTGTTAAGTTGCCAAAAGGTTTATGATATAGGCTACAAATTGTTTATAAGATATGGAGCTTATTATGTACTGGTTGTGCAAAATTTTGACATATTTGTTTTATTTTGCTTACCTTTTGTTGATATTGTTTTTTCATATTCTAAGCATCCTCATTTTTTTGTCAATACAGGTTTGGAAACACTGCCTATTTGCACATATATGTTGCTTTTATCCAGATGCTCAAAGCTCTAAGTATGTGGAAACAAAGTGCATTATTTGATTACATCCAACGAAATCACTCTATAATTGTAATGACTGGCTATTTATGTTTGCAATATTACAGTGCCAGTGGCAAAATTTTTCATGGGTGTCATGTGTAGCACTGATAAACCAAGGTGTGATGTGTTCTTAAACATGGTGCTGGTCAGCGTCGGAGTTATCGTTTCCATGAGTTGGTGGCCGCACATGTATGCTGTATTAGGTGTTTTTACTGTAGTCACCATGTGGCCAGTTGTTGTAACTGAGGGTTGCAGGAAAATAAAGCTGCAGTACTATTGGTTTAAACTAACATCTGTTGCAAGGTAAAGTTAGTGTTACTTACCTAGACATTATATGCATTTGGTGGATAGATATAGGCTTTGGTTTCAATTCTTCTTTGTGCAACATAGATAGTACAGTTCGTGGCTAATCCGAGCAGGGAGCAGTAACTAATTTTATGTGAACTAGGACTATTGTTGAATTCATTTAAGGAGATTTGTAACTTTCGGTGTTTGTTTATTAACTTATAATAATGGTTATATGTTCTTTCTCAATGTCGTATTTTCTTTGTTTTCTTTGACTAATGTGAATATTTAGTATATGAATTGTTTTATATATAATATGATATATATATTTAGTATTATGAGGAATTAAATGTGATTTAGTTTGATTATTTGTCAATCTACAATATATATATATAATTTACGAAATACAATCACGACACACAAATGTGTGTCATCTTCATTTATGACGGGGCTTCAATGACACGCAATGCAAGTCATACATGAGTGTCATTAATTTATGATACACAAATGCGTGTCATCTTTATTTATGATAGGGGCTTCAATGACGCTCAATGCGCGTCATAAATGAGCGTCATAAATGTGTGTCATAAATGCATGTCATAAATGCGTGTCATAAATGCACGTCATAGATTTATGACACAATTGCGTGTTATCTGAGATTTATATCGGTGGCTTCAATGACGCGCAAATATGTGTCATTTGTACCCATAGATGACGCGCAATGAGCGTCATTAAAGGGGTTTTTTCTAGTAGTGATTGTTGTTCGAAATAACTAATAATATCAATTCGATTAAAATTTTAAATAATAGTACTACAAGTGTGTAGTTTTACGAATTACTTTCACATGAACATGCATGATTGTGCATTGTGGAAACACCTTTCTCAAGTTTTCAAATGAGGTTTCATTGCTTCATGTACTATTTTGTATCATTCAATATTTTTTAGTACAAAAAAATTAGGTTATGAGTGGCTCCCCTAGTTCAGGGTCAAGGTATACCTAAGATCCAATTGGGATTTACATAAGAATTTACATATTGCCCACTAAGAGTGACAGTAATAAGATTCGAACTTGACCTCACAAGCTCAAATTCCTGAATCACAACTGTAACACCCTAAACCAGTACGACACACAGTCGACCAATCAGAATGCCATAAGAAACCACCAGAGTGACTAACCAAATTTTTCTTTATTTTTTTCGTTTTAAATTGATCATTTGTAACCACTCATGCTAAAATAAATCAACCACACTTTAAATAAAATAGTTTACTTTAGGAGCTCCCAAAATAATATTTAAATCATTCAAACCATAGTTTAAAATGAGTTACGACTTATACAAAAAAAAATATACAAATCAGGGTTTATAATTATACATTCCATATAAAGATGAAATCAAGACGTACTTTGTATTATCTAGGTCTGGATCACTGAATTATACTAAAAGTGTTCATGTCATGCTTAAGCTAACTGATAATTGCAATAGTGAGTATACTTGTATACTGCACTCTCTACTCTATGGTAGACATCATGGTGCGTCTAAGGATTTTGTATCTCAGAGCTCACACACCCTCTCTAGTCTACCAAGGTTGGTTGCCCAGAATCTCTGCATCAATAATCCCTATCGATTAACCCACTTCTTGAGTGTCATACCTTATGCCCAAGCTAGTTAGATTTAAGTGCCTCGCACACTACCTAAGGATATATCCGGACGAAATCTATACTTTCGATAATTATAGCATTTTCTAAAGGAACTTGGGTGTCCTAATCGTTTCGTGAGCATCATCCAAGGCTATTTTTATGTCATCATAATTGATCTTATTTCTAAGTGAAATATTAATATCAATAATATTTTCACTTGTAGTCTTATTTGATGATATAATGAAGTGTTGGGGAACCTCGAGTCTAATTCCCTTAAAAACTGATATTTTTGCCCAAAACATACTGAAAATATCGATACTAGCCCAAGATTATCGATACTCCTGCAAAAGTTTTGATACTTTATATAAGTATCGATACTTTTAAACATTTCGTTCTGCCCAGATTCTAAACTTTCTTGAGTTTCGAAACTATGACCCAAAGTTTCGATACTCTTGAAAGAGTACCGATACTTTTGCCCAGAAACTCACGAATTTGCCCAAAACGAAGAATAAGTATCGATATTATCCCTATAGTATTGATACTTTACTTGTAGAAGTCATAAAACATATAAGAAAACATTAATTTTCAATTCTAAAGACCCTAGTGAGGTACCCAAACATGCTTAAAGTTTTATTTGATAAACAAGGGTCATAATAGAGGCTTTAAACACATTTATAACTCTGAAACAAGAAATTCACCATGAAAATGCGTATCATGCTCAACTCAAACATTTAAACTATTTTGAGCTTCTAATGACTCACTAAGAGTATAAAAGAGTTATAAAGGTGTCACCTTGCTCCTTTGATGACTAGAAACTTTCTCAACTCACTCAATATTCAACTTTTCTTTTTCTTTAGCTTTTGAGCTTTCTCATATCTCCTTTACTAAACAAAACAATAAAATGGATTACCAATCCATCTAGGGGTTGAATAACATCTAAATAAACTCCCTATAACTTAAAACTGAGCTAGAATCCATAGATTCCCACAAATCTCTCAAGACCCATTTTTGGTTCTATACATAAAAACTAATGAAGTTGAACTTAAAACAAAGCTTGGAGGATAAATATTGAACTTCTCACCTTATTTTCACCACACTTGACTTGAAATGCTTGAACTTTCACTTGGAATGGAAGATGGAAGAAAGAAGAAGAGCATTTAGTGAGAAGATAAGGGGGAGTGGTTCACGTAAAAATTATAATATATGAGAGGGTTTTCAGCTTTCAAAATTAACCATGGGTAAACTACACTTTTATTCCCTCAAACTTCAAATTTACACAACACCCATAACCAACTATCGAAACTCTTGGGCCCTAACTCAAGCCCAAAAATAATAAACTTGGTTCACTATAATTCAGGTCCACTTAGCTCAAACTTTAAGTATCGCGTTGACCCGAAATACTAACCCGAGTTTTGGGGTGTTACAACTCTCCTTTTTTAACAAGAAATTTTATCCTCAAAATTTACCTGGATAGAAAAGATACAGATACTGGAGCTTCATATCTTCCTCTGTTTCCCAAATAGCTTTCTCGATCTCGTGATTCCTCAAAAGTACTTTTACTAAAGGGATCTTTTTGTTTCTAAACTCTTTCACTTCTATGGCTAGGATTCTAATCTGCTCCTCCTCATAAGACATGTCGGGGCTCAACATAACTTGCTTTAAGGACAGGACATAAGACGAATCGAAACGATATCTTCAAGCATGGACACATGAAACACATTAAGAATGCGCTCCAACTCTGGGGGTAAGGCTAAACGATAAACGATCGACCCTACTCTCTCGAGCACTTCATAGGGTCCAATGAAAATTGGAGTTAATTTTCCTTTGCATCCAAACTGAAGTACTTTCTTCCATGGGGTCACTTTAAGGAATACCCTATCTCCCACTTTGAACTCGATTGTCTTGCGTTTCAAATCTACATAAGATCTTTGCCTATATGAAGCCTCCTTAAGCTTGCTCTGAATTACCTTGACATTTTCTTCTGTCTCTCGAATAAGATATGGTCCCATTATTTTCCATTCACTAAGTTTAGTCCAGCAAAGAGGAGTTATACACTAGCGTCCATACAGAGCTTTGTATGGAGCCATCTGGATGCTCAACTGGTAACTTTTATTATACATGAACTCCACCAATGGTAGGTGATCTTCCCAACTACCTTCAAGATCTATAATAACACACCTTAACATATCTTCAACAATTTGAATAACGTGCTCTGACTGACCGTCTGACTGAGAGTAAAATGAGGTGCTGAAATGAAGCTTGGTACCTAGGGAATTGTAAAGAGCTTTCAGAAATTGATAAGTGAATCTAGGGTCTCTATCTGAGATGATCGAAGTCAGGACTCCATGTAACCTCACTATCTCGCGAATATAGAGTTGTACTAGCATTTCTAAGGTAAAGGCCATTTTAACCGATAAAAAGTGAACAAACTTGGTCAACTGATCTATTATCACCCATACAGTATCATGCTTGCATCTTGTTATCGGTAATCCCATCACGAAATCCATAGTTACTTGGTTTCATTTCTATTGCAATATTTGAATTGACTGAAATAACCCTGAGGGAACCTGATGTCCTGCCTTAACCTATTGGCACACCATACACTATTCTACAAACTCAGAAACCTCTCTTTTCATAACTGACCAAAAGTACAATAATCGAAGCTCTTCGTACATCTTATTGCTACCAGGATGGAAAAAAAGTAGACTACAATAGGCTTCATGAAGGATCTTGCTACGCAACTGCTCAACATCAGTCACACATAACTGACCTCTAAAACAAAATACATCATTATCTCGCACTTCAAACCCTGAGGCATTTTCTCGGTGGACTTGCTCCACTTGAGCTTTTATGCGACTATAAGAACTTTGAAGTCACCTGACTTTACCCACTAACTCGGGTTTTACTCTAAGCTCGACTAATAAGCCTCAATCTCTGGATATAATCAGGTGGGCTAAAAAGGCTCAAAGTTCTGACATTGACTTTTGGCTCAGTGCATCAGCCACAATGTTCGCTTTTCCAGGGTGATAATCGATAACACAAATCATAATTCTTAAGAAATTCCACCCACCTATGATGCCTGATGTTTATCTCCTTTTGCGTAAGCAAATACTTTAAACTTTTATGATATGTGAAGATATGGCATTTCCCCTCAAACAAATAATACCACTAAATCTTGACCGTGAAAACAACTACTGCAAGCTCTAAATCATGAGTGGGGTAATTTCGCTCGTGAGGCTTGAGTTGACAAGATGTATACGCTACTACCTTTCTATCTTACATCAAAACACATCTCAGACCGTTTAGCAAAGCATATCTATATACGATAAACTCCTTTCCCGACTCAGGCTAGGTTAAGACTGGGGCTTGGGTCAACGTGGTCTTCA